GGTCATTCCGTCCCACCTGGCCGGTCCCCCCAGCTCTTTGAGAGAGAAACCAGGTGGCTGTTCCTTTGAGGGTGCTTCCCTCTGCGCATGACTGCATTTGGGTTTTATCTGTCTCATCTTCGCAAAACGAATTCTAACAGGCTCTATGCATGCAGCCTCTGTGGGCGACGCCTGGCCATGGGTGAATCGGTCTAACCCGAAATACTCTCCTTCTTGTAGCAGCGTGCAAGGGGACTGGTCACAAACAGACTATTTGTTTAAGAAACTTCTCGACGGTTGGCCTGTCAGAAGGAACAACCTCTCTTTAGCTGGATGGAGGATGGAGGCCAACCTCAACACATCAGCTCTCCAGACGCTGAATTCCTCCTCCATGCCCACTGCCGAACTAGGCTTCGAAGGAGGATATGCTGCCGCATGCCAGGGGCCCTCCCAGAGGCCCTGTGTTGGTCACCATCACGAAACAAGACGCTACAGTATTCTGGTATTTTAACCAAACGCTACCTATGCGGTGCTGACGAGTAACAGGACACCGAACGGGATATTTAAAATAAAGTGCTAATGGGGACATGGAGAAAACAGGAGCAAAACAGAATTAGAGGCTGGGTTAACCAGAAGCTTCTCTAACGAGCTGCTGATGCATAGGCTGGGCTCTAAAGCATAGGCCACAACGCGTTCTCACTTTGTTCTGTTTCCAAAAAAGCTGAAGTCTGGCTTCTGCAGCCGCCCCACCGCCATTCTGGTTTGTTATTGTGTGGAAGTGGGTGCTTCCTCCTGCTGCTATGGCAGGGGGTCTGTGGCGTGGGCATCTCTAGTTTTTCACAGGGGGGTCAGGTGCAGGATGTGACAATAGCTGACTCTGAGATGAGGCACCCACATGGGCCGCATGGCCCGAGAGGAGCCTCCGGGGTGGCTCCAAATAAGCCAGTTGTCCACACTGCCAGCAGGTCAGACATAGGTCGAAGAGCAGACCCTGGTGCTGTGAAGATTGGTTTTTAGGTTCCACCCTCAGTAACGAGTAGCAGAGGCAGCTTCTGAGAAAATCTTATGCTGAGTCACTTTCTGTTGAGGAATAGATTCCAAACCCTTTCCTGTAACTCAAAAACCATATCAGTTCTCAGGCAGTAAGAAAGATGGGCCTCTTTATCTCACCAAACTGGGTCTCCTCCCCTTTTGGAAATGACTGTGCTAATATATTTATATCTGGGCTAGCTCTGTGATATGTCCTGTTCTCAGAGCAAAGGAGTCGTGACATCTGCCAGCTGCAGCTCGGCCTGTGCCAGCCATCGGTTATTGATCCTAGCTAGGCCTGCGGGTACTGTTAGTGCTTTAGGAATCTGAGATGAGAAAGTCCCTTATCGATCTGAAAAAGCCCTTCAGTGTGAGTGTGTTTTCTTCAGCTCACCAGTCAGATATTATTTAATTTCTTTCCATCTCATTCAACCTTCAGCCTCATCCAACACGAGGAGTTGTACAGGTGGGTCTGTGTTGTCAATTTCTCACTTAGCATA